GCTCCATCCCCTGAGAGCCGTGGACCCTCAGAAGCGCTGGTGCTGCCTGCTCTGCCTCCCCAGGCTCCCTTATCTGCACTGTGAGCTCTGGGGTTGCCCTTCAAGCCCCCCTGTTCCAACCCCGTTCCTTTCCTCACGAGCAGGGATTCCGTGCTCAACACCGAAGGTGATCTGCCAGTTGCAACAAGGAGAAGACCCCTGCCTGGTGGACAGAGAACTTCCTCAAGATGCCTCTCTAGGTGAGTAAGTGTCCAGGAAATGGGCTCAGGGCGTTTTGTACATGAGCCCACCATGAGGAAGCAGTGCTGGGAGAACTTGCCTGGAAACTATGAGCCAGGGCCTCCTGACTGGAGGCTCTGTGGTTGTGATGGTATTCTTGGCTCAAGAAAGCCCTTGTGTAGACCTCTTTCTTCTCCTCCTTAACACTCCACACATTCTCAACCTCTTTTCCTTTCCTGTGGCTTCCCTCACTCCCTTCTGCCATCTTGACCTGTTGGCTTTCATGGCTTTCTTCCCATCTGCCTTTACATGCATTCATGCCTGGCAGATTTTAAGTACTTTACACCTTCTGTCTCGATTCTTTGTAATTTCTTTCACCAACCACATATTTCAGAGTTGTCGATGCTCCTGTGTCTCTGATTTCTTAGCTCAACATTTCCCTTTTATCTCCAGGGAGACTGGGCTCTCGTGTCCCACTGTTAGAGGCAACCAGCTCTTCTTGATCACTGTAGCCTTTCCAGCTGTAGCCACTGTAGCCTTTCCAAGGGGTTGGCACACATTTCCTACAACGGCCCAGATGGTAAATAGTTTGGCTGGGGGACCTGGGGGCCTCTACTGCAACCCTTTTACTCCCCATCCATAATGCAGACGCAGTCAGAGATAGTGGTACGTGGATTGGTGTGGCGGCCTTCCAGCAACAGCAGCTGGAGTTGGTCCCAAGATCTGTAGTGTACACATCCTCTTCTAGCCCTGGCTAGTCTCGCTGGTCTTTATCCTAAAACTGTAGGTGGTTGGAGCTGGAGGATCACTTGAGAATGGTCAAGTTTAGATATCCCTCTTTATATTAGAAGAATCGGCACATCAGAGGTTATAAAACGTTTTGCTCACAGAGTCAAAGAGCTAAAAAGCAGTGACAGAAACCTAGATCACCTTTGTCATTTCTGTTGACCGTGTAACATGGATTTGCAATATTTTCCTTCTGTCTTTGTGATTTGGCCTTTAATCTATGATTCTTGCCTTTATGGGCTTTTTTTTTTTTCATGGTTTCACAAATACTTTTCATCTTTATTAAAAGACATTTATCTCCAAAAAGTTAGTGAGTAGTACAGGATAGCACTTAAGATCTTGGTTTGAATTTAGACATTCCTAAGCTCCCGTTACCGATGCCACGGCTCCCAAGTGCTCTGTGCTGCAGGAGAGTTACCCTCTCTGAGCCTTGTTCTCTTCTCCCAACCTCTGCTCCATCCACAGAGCAATCTTTTTGAAACTCAGGTGTATTAATCCTGTCTCTTAGAAGAACTCGTTGCTTCTCAGTTATGCAACCTTAAACCTACTTCATAGCCTGTTTCCATGTTGCTTTACAGGAATCCGTGATCCCTTCCATGCCAGTTCATGTTCCCCCCAAACCTGCACACTCATTATGTTTGTGTGTCATTCCTTCTTGGATTACCACCTCCATCTTGTCCCCTGGGAACCCTCTTATCCTACAAGACCCACCTGTCCACCTGACCTGTAGGTTTTCCTTATTTCTCCTGCTTCCCAGTCACCATTCATTCCTCAGTCACTCGCATTTATATGCCACTTTCTCCATGTCTCAAATGCATCTGTGACAGCATCTTTCCTAGCGAATTACAGTTCCTTCGTTATTATTTATTTTCGTAATTGGATTGTATATATTTAAGGAAGAGACCAGGTCTTTCTTTGAATTCTGTGCCTCTGGCATCAAATATCCTGCATTTGAATTTAATTGAGCTGCCTTGATGATGAAGTCAGTGCTGATTAGGCTCAAAATTAAAAACTCGGTGCAGCCTTGGGGCCCCTGGGTGGCTCAGTTGGTTAAGCATCTGCCTCCGGCTCAGATCATGATCCCAGGGTCCTGAGATCGAGTCCCGCGTTGGGCTCCCCCTGCTGCTTCTCCCTGTCCCTTTGCCTGCCTATCTCTCTCTCTCTCTCTCAGATTAATAAAGAAAATCTTTAAAAAAAAAAAAAAGACGACTATGGCAGCTGTATCATTGCTCAGCTTCCACTCTGTCCTCGCTCTGGTCCAAGCTGCCCACTTTACCAGATATGATCACTTCGTCTTATTATTACCTGCGAAAGAGCGTATACAACACCTGTATTATTCTTCTGAGTTCCTCAGCCCATTGTTCAGGAACTCCGTGCTGGGCCTCATCCTGTTGAATAAAAATGTTAACGAATTCCGGCCTGGATTTCCTTCTTTACTCAGTAAGCGTCCCCTAAATAGGTTTACTTCCCCCCAGATGACTTTGCTCAGGTCTCATTTCTGACGCACAGGGTCCTCTTTTCTTGTTCTGCTGAAACCCATCCCCTCTTTATTATCCGCCTTCCTTCATAAAATCACTCCCTACTAATACTGTCGATGCTGGTATCTTGGTTCTCTGACCTTCAGACCTGAATTGTACATTTGAGGCTTCTCATGCCAAGGGGAAACGAGCTATTCCTGTCCAGTCATGTCTTTGTTTCATGTTATCCTTGCTGATTATTCAGTCTTTGTTCAATAAATGACTGATTAGGTTTCAGGAATCCAGCATGAGAGAAGAGCTCATTTTTGAGGCCACGTGCCTTTCTTGATTTTTCCAACTCACTCTGCCCGTTCATCATCTTTTTATTTTTTAAAGATTTTATTTATTTATTTGACAGAGAGCGATCACAAGTAGGTGGAAAGGCAGGCAGAGAGAGAGGAGGAAGCAGTCTCCCTGCTGATGAGAGAGCCCGATGCTCGATTCCAGGACCCTGGGATCATGACCTGAGCTGAAGGCAGAGGCTTTAACCCACTGAGCCACCCAGGCGCCCCATGCATTATCTTTTTAATGTAAGACATTCTAATTGTGTACTTGCAGTGTGCACAGTAAGGGATGAGGAAATAACCGTAAGACGTATCCACTGTTCCCCCTGAATAAATACTTGAATTATTTTCAGGTTTCATATGCATATATATTAGGAAAATGATAGAATATGTAAGTAAAGCATGTTGTAAAATTATGAAAAAGAGATGGCTAATTTAGGCTTTACTAGTTAAATTTCTTTAGAAAAACAAGATTAGAGTATTTTTATACAGATTTAGTGCCTGTATGTCTTCTTCCTCTTACTATTTGATTTTAATAAAATACATTTTATTACTAAAACTCAATGGGTTTTATTAACATACATAACCTAGTTATACTTTGTTTTATTATTTAAGTACATACAAAGACCTAGGTGTTGTTGTTTTTTTTTAAGATTTTATTTATTTGACAGACAGAGCACAAGTAGGCAGAGAGGCAGGCAGAGAGAGAGGGAGGAGGAAGCAGGCTCCCTGCCTAGCAGAGAGCCCGATGCGGGACTTGATCCCAGGACCCTGAGATCATGACCTGAGCTGAAGGCAGAGGCTTAACCCACTGAGCCAACCAGGCAGCCCCAAAGACCTAGTTTTAATGTATTTTCAGTAATGGATTGATTAAAAGAGAGCCAGATTTTAACCCACACTTCCTTAGAATCAGCTCAAACTAAACCCTTTCACTTACCGTCCAGTCTGAGCTTGTGCCCTGGGTGTATTCCAGATCATTGGGACATATTGACTCATTTCATGCAGACTTTCATTCATGAAAGATTCCTGCAGAGGTTAATCTTCTGGTTGCCACTTACTAAAAGAGACAAATATATCTGTTTCTCCTCAGGATCAAATAGGAAGGAGAGAAGTGATGGCAGGGTGTCTCATGTCACAGACTATGATATGAAATCATATTCACATACAGATTTCACAAAACCTAAAACACTGCAGAGATTTTAAAATTAATGTGTATAAAATTTTGGCGAGAGCATGGCAGAAAACATAATAAAAGCTGCATGTGAATAGAAAGGAGAAAACGGGGCACCTGGCTGGCTCTGTTGGGGGAGCATGTGACTCTAGATCTCGGGGTTGTGAGTTAGAGCCCCACATTGGGTGTAGACATTACTAAAAAAAATAAGTAAACCTAAAAAGAGAAAATAAAGACAAGTTACCTGCTTCGTGGCTCCTTACACAGAGTAGGAAATAATTAACTGAAGTATCCTACGGTATCCAGCTGAAGCTTACGAGCTGACATTTTTCTGTAGCTTCATCCCTTCTGCCCAACCAGTTCTTATCTCTGCATTTACTTCTCTCAAGTTGCAAGTCTCTTCGTTTCCAGCGTTCATTTGTCTGCTGTACCTTCTCAAACTACTCCTTCCCCTCTTCACCTCTCTTTCCATCTCGTCTGGTTTTTACCCAGATGCAAGCCCATATTTGAGATCAAAAGAGGTTTCAGAGTTCTTTTATATGTACTATTACCAATTTTTTCATTCCACTGACGCACGTCTGTCTCTCCCAGTAGAGGTGCCATCATTATGCTTCTGACTCATTCCAGGTCTCAAGGCTCAGATGGAAATGGAAGTCTTGCCTCCCAGACAAGGCATTTCTAGAGAAGAAACATCTCAGGGAATAATAAAGAAGAGGTCCATTAAGTGTGGTCACTGGGACACCAATTTTGGACAGACTTTTGAATTTGAGAGCAGGACGGGACAGGAGCAGCAGAAGAAATCTCTTAGGCAAATGGTGACCTCCCACAAAAAAACCATGAGTGGAGAAGTAAAGCAGACAAGTTTTGAATTGGGGAAAGGCTTACTTATAAATAGAACTCTTGTTACACAGCAGAGTGTTCCTATAGAAAAGATACCCAATATCTATTACACCTTTGGGAAAGATTTTAAACAGAATTTTGACCTAATGAGATGCTTCCAGATTTACCCAGGAGAAAAACCTCATATTTGTCGTGAATGTGGGAAAAGCTTCACCCAGCGTCTCCATCTGATTGAACACCAGAGAATTCACACTGGTGAGAAACCCTACAGATGTGATGAGTGCGGGAAAACCTTTAGCCACAGATCCTCCCTTCTTGCCCATCAGAGAATCCACACAGGAGAAAAACCTTACAAATGTAATGAATGTGAGAAAGCGTTCAGCAGCAGTTCAACCCTGATCAAGCATCTGAGGGTACACACAGGAGAGAAACCCTATCGCTGCAAGGAATGTGGAAAAGCCTTCAGTCAGTGTTCAACCCTCACCGTACATCAGAGAATTCATACCGGTGAGAAACTCTATAAATGTGCTGAATGTGAGAAGGCCTTCAATTGTAGAGCAAAACTTCATAGACACCAAAGAATCCACACCGGGGAGAAACCCTATAAATGCAGTGAATGTGGGAAAGGTTACAGCCAGTTTGCATCCCTGGCTGAACACCAGAGGCTTCATACTGGGGAGCAGCTGTGTAAGTGCCTGGAATGCGGGAGAACCTTCACACGCATCTCAACCCTTCTCGAACACCAGCGAATTCATACTGGCCAGAAACCCTATCAATGTAACGAGTGTGGGAAAACCTTCAACCAGTATTCCTCCTTCAATGAACATCGTAAAATTCACACCGGGGAAAAGCTCTATACTTGTGGAGAATGTGGGAAAGCCTTTGGTTGCAAATCCAACCTGTACAGGCATCAGAGAATTCACACGGGAGAGAAGCCCTACCGGTGTAATCAATGTGGGAAGGCCTTCAGCCAGTATTCATTCCTCACTGAACACGAGAGAATCCATACCGGGGAGAAACTCTACAAGTGTATGGAGTGTGGGAAGGCCTACAGTTACAGATCAAACCTGTGCAGACACAAGAAAGTTCACACAAAAGAAAAACTCTATAAATGGAAGGACTATGGGAAGCCATTTATTTACAGTTCTTCCCTTACTCAGTATCAGAGATTCCTTAGAGCAGATAAGCCCGGTGAAGTTTAATTCTTCTCTCAAATAATTCAAGACTCCTTATTGGAGAATAATAAATAGGGCACAGATTCTGGATTAGATTTTTTTTTTTAACTGATGGAGAAAATATACTAGTTCCCACTACGTCATGGTGAAATTGATCAGTGGGATTATGAAGAGCACTGATTTGTCGAATTTTCTAAGTACCTTTAAATGCTAATAAGGTTTCTAAGAACATAGACATTTTTTTTTTAGTTCATGGAAAAAAACATAAAAGTCCTAACAAAAAAAAAAAAACATGAAAATAATGGAATATACATTTTGTTTCTTTAAAGTTTATTCACTTTCTAAGCACAAGCTTCGATATGAATTTTCTTTTAAATTAGTCATTGAGTTAATGTGAATAAGTGTGAGCCTGTATTTACTAAAATGGCAAGCAAGCGTAGGACATGCTCTCTTCCATAAAGAAAAATTCAAGGTAAAAAGGAATTCTTTAAATTCAAATTTTCATGTGGAAATAATCACTTTTTATGAACTGCCTCAGCAGCAGGTTGTATATATAAATATATGTACGTGGACAAAGGACATACAGACATATATATATATATATATATATATAAACATATAGCTTTAGAGTACATGTATATTTTTTCCAAAAGTCCATGATGATTAAAAAATGTGGTTTTGTTAATTTAGAATTTAGTTTGGGAAATTAAAAATTTGCCCAAATGGGATCTCTTTTCCCTTTCCTTATATATTTCTTAATTGGACATGATTTGACACTCCCAAATAGAGTTCTAGGATAGTATTCTTGAAAGTGTAGTGAACTAAAGCAAGGGAGACTGTCAGGCAAATACTCTCTTACCTGTTGCCGAAGGTACCTATTTGCAGAATCTGACTCTACGCCTGGTAGCTCATTAGAGCCAGGAGGAATTTTCACTTAGTTTATGTATAGCCTTTCATTTTACTAATGAAATTGAGCTTATTGGGCAGAGTCAAGGAATCTTAAGTTTTAATCTTAGAATCTTAGAATCTTGGGCAGAGTCAAGGAATCTTAAGTTTTAATCTTAGAATCTTAGAATCTTAAGTTTTCAGCTCTGGTTTTCTATGGTAATTGTAGATACAAATTATAATCATTGGTTTCCAACCTCAAGCCCCAAGAGTACTATTCACTATTTGTTTTGTAAACTGATTGGGCATAGGGGCGCCTGGGTGGCTCAGTGGGTTAAACTGATTGGGCATAATTGCAGTAATTTAATCAGTTTTATTTCTTTGTTTGCCAGGATCCCCCTAACTGCAATCTCAGTCTTGTTGTTTCTTTTTCTCCTGTGTTCCTAATTATACCTGCTTTTATAATAACTGTACATAAATCCTCAGACTCAGCTGAGGTCCAGATGGTGAAATTACTTTTGGGGTTTTCATGTAGAAGGCTGCCTTTTCACTTGTTTTTTGTTATACTCATCTTCTAGGAATCCTTTTGTGTAAAGTGATATGTGAATATTTTGAATATTATTGTTAAACATTCTAGTCTTCAGTTAAAATTGGCTTTCCAAACATTTTCCATATTTTTAACATACATTGCATTTTACCCTGGGCCCACTTCCCACTATTTTATGTCTCACTTTCACCATTGGTATCCTTTAAAAAAGTGTTTTAATAAAAGGAGCTAGAGCCTTCTGTCTGAGAAAGGTTTTAGAATTAAATGCAGGCATTCAGCATAGCATATTTCTTGACCTGCCTTAGCTCACTTGAAAATATCTTTTTATATATTTAAGTATATTTACAAGGACATAAACTTTTAAAAAGACCTCAGTGTTTAACACTGGACAAAGCCATTTGCAAGATATTCTAGAGAAGAACATTTGGTTACCCAATAGCAATGAGAATGCTTAGTACCCAGATTTTGGTTTCTAAATGCTGTTCCCCACTAAAAGGAACCTGGGCTCATTGGAGTAATGGCTGATTCTATATATGGAGCAGGGAAAGTAGAAGATGTGTCTGGGGTATCTTCTTATGAAACAAAACAAAAAGATAGCACTTCAAGAATAAGCACTCAAAGGCTAATGTCAGAAGGACATGGGAGCCAACTTGAAGGTGCTCTCACTGGTCAAATTTAAGATAATTTAAACATCAAATACAACAGTCACTGTAATTAGTTATAACATGCTAAGTAAAAATGAGACCATAATGAAAAAGTAAAAGGAAAGCTCTCTATGAGCTAAACTGAAGAATGCCATCTTTTAACTGGAATGAGAGTTTCAGAAAAATCACCATTTTATAATCCTTCATGTAATTAAACTAGGCAAATTCAATGGCTGATAAGCCCATTAGGTGAAAAAATATTTAAGGAACATTATATGGTGTCAAAGGTCACAGATACCAATTACAAATCTAATAGATCTGGAGAAACCGAGTTTCACTACTAGTGGGACAGTCTGACGTGATGTGGCTCCTGATGAGATGCCTTATGAGGTGCACATGATAATCTGTGATGTATTCTTGCCAAGAGTGTTTGATGAAAATCTAATTAAACCTCTTATCCAGATTTATGTTCCTGTTTATAAGAAAGACAAGAGATAGAGGAACAAGTTGAATTCCATGAAGAGGAAATAGACAAACCCAAAGTTTGAGACTTTGTACAAGACAACTGGTCTAGACTCTTCAAAAAGCCAACGTAGTAGAACAAAAAAGAGACTTCTAGATTAAGGCCACTCAAAAGTCATGAGCAAGGTGTGATCCTTAGTTGGCTTCTGATTCAGAAAAATTAGAGCAACTATAAAAGACATTTGGGAGGGGATACTTGGGGAAGTATGAGGATGGAATGGGTTTTAGATAACGTCATATGTTTAATTTTCCTAGAAGTGATGATGGTATTGAGGTATTTAGGATGATGCCCTTATTCTTAGGAGATGCATGTAAAAGTTTTCAAGTTTGAAAAGTCATGATGTCTGCAGCACATTTTCAGGTAAGTACATAAAAAATTAGGTGTTGTGAAAAATTAGTCAACTTTGTGGAGGATATAGAGATGTTCACTGGTCATCCTTTACATTTTTCCATATGTTTATAATTTTAATAAAAAAATCGAGGCAAAAAGTGATTGCATAATGTGATGAATATGAAGCTTCCAGTCAAAATTTTTCCTTTGTACTCATGTAAATTTCCTGTTTGACAGTTTATCTCCTGGGGATGTAATCTTTGGAAATAAAATAATTTTTGGTTTGTTCTTATTCCACTTTATTTTTCTTTTCTTTTCTTTTTTTAAAATTTATTTATTTTTATTTTTTATAAACATATATTTTTATCCCCAGGGGTACAGGTCTGTGAATCGCCAGGTTTACACACTTCACAGCACTCATCCCAGCACATACCCTCCCCAGTGTCCATAACCCCACCCCCCTCTCCCAATCCCCCTCCCCCCTGCAACCCTCAGTTTGTTTTGTGAGACTACGAGTCACTTATGGTTTGTCTCCCTCCCAATCCCATCTTGTTTCATTTATTCTTCTCCTACCCCCTTAACCCCCCATGTTGCATCTCCACTTCCTCATATTAGGGAGATCATATGATAGTTGTCTTTCTCCGATTGACTTACTTCACTAAGCATGATACCCTCTAGTTCCATCCACGTCGTCGCAAATGGCAAGATTTCATTTCTTTTGATGGCTGCATAGTATTCCATTGTGTATATATACCACATCTTCTTTATCCATTCGTCTGTTGATGGACATCTAGGTTCTTTCCATAGTTTGGCTATTGTAGACATTGCTGCTATAAACATTCGGGTGCATGTGCCCCTTCAGATCACTACCTTTGTATCTTTAGGGTAAATACCCAGCAGTGCAATTGCTGGGTCATAGGGTAGTTCTATTTTCAACATTTTGAGGAACCTCCATGCTGTTTTCCAGAGTGGTTGCGCCAGCTTGCATTCCCACCAACAGTGTAGGAGGGTTCCCCTTTCTCCGCATCCTCGCCAGCATCTGTCATTTCCTGACTTGTTAATTTCAGCCATTCTGACTGGTGTGAGGTGATATCTCATTGTGGTTTTGATTTGTATTTCCCTGATGCCGAGTGATGTGGAGCACTTTTTCATGTGTCTGTTCGCCATCTGGATGTCTTCTTTGCAGAAGTGTCTGTTCATGTCTTCTGCCCATTTCTTGATTGGATTATTTGTTCTTTGGGTGTTGAGTTTGCTAATCTCTTTATAGATTTTGGACACTAGCCCTTTATCTGATATGTCATTTGCAAATATCTTCTCCCGTTCTGTCAGTTGTCTTTTGGTTTTGTTAACTGTTTCCTTTGCTGTGCAAAAGCTTTTGATTTTGATGAAATCCCAATAGTTCATTTTTGCCCTTGCTTCCCTTGCCTTTGGCGATGTTCCTAGGAAGATGTTGCTGCGGCTGAGGTCGAAGAGGTTGCTGCCTGTGTTCTCCTCAAGGATTTTGATGGATTCCTTTCTCACATTGAGATCCTTCATCCATTTTGAGTCTATTTTCATGGGTGGTGTAAGGAAATGGTCCAATTTCATTTTTCTGCATGTGGCTGTCCAATTTTCCCAACACCATTTATTGAAGAGGCAGTCTTTTTTTCATTGGACATTCTTTCCTGCTTTGTCGAAGATTAGTTGACCGTAGAGTTGAGGGTCTATTTCTGGGCTCTCTATTCTGTTCCATTGATCTATGTGTCTGTTTTTGTGCCAGTACCATGCTGTCTTGATGATGACAGCTTTGTAATAGAGCTTGAAGTCCGGAATTGTGATGCCACCAACTTTGGCTTTCTTTTTCAATATTCCTTTGGCTATTCGAGGTCTTTTCTGGTTCCATATAAATTTTAGGATTATTTGTTCCATTTCTGTGAAAAAAAAAAAAAGGATGGTATTTTGATAGGAATTGCATTAAATGTGTAGATTGCTTTAGGTAGCATAGACATTTTCACAATATTTATTCTTCCAATCCAGGAGTATGGAACATTTTTCCATTTCTTTGTGTCTTCCTCAATTTCTTTCATGAGTACTTTATAGTTTTCTGAGTATAGATTCTTAGCATCTTTGGTTAGTACTTTATAGTTTTCTGAGTATAGATTCTTAGCCTCTTTGATACCTCTAGGAAGATATTCCTAGGTATCTTATAGTTTTGGGTGCAATTGTAAATGGGATTGACTCCTTAATTTCTCTTTCTTCTGTCTTGTTGTTGGTGTAGAGAAATGCAACTGATTTCTGTGCATTGATTTTATATCCTGACACTTTACTGAATTCCTGTACAAGTTCTAGC